TTTTTCGATAGTAATAAAATGTTTGTAGATTATATCCCTGTTTTTGAAATGATTTTTTCTTATATTTTCGACATCTTTTATAAGTAATATTTTTACTTGGATTGACTATTGAAATACATTTTATAAATAATAATTCTTATGTTTAGAAGAACTGTCGGAAGATGCAGGAGACATACACATGTTGTCTACATATCAACAAGATGCCATGAATGAAAAGGATGTTGATGGTGTGTATTATATTATTTCGTAGCTATGGATAAAAAAACTGGATGATCTATAATATTCTACGAATAATCTATAAATAAAAGATAATATAATAAAAGAAAAATGTAATAAATGTATAAACATTTATAAATATATATAAAAAAAGTTTATTTAATATTGCTTTTGTTACATTTGTGAAACAAAAATATCGAATAATGCTTACTAAAAATATTTTTATGTTTCGTAATACTTAATATTTTTTTTAATATGTTGAAAAAAATTTTAATATCGTAATTTTGTTTTTATTTTCTTTATAATTCTTTGCTTTAATGATAACGTAGTAGATGTACCAATAAAGAAATATTGTATAGTTCTTATATCATGTGATTACAACATATTAATGTTTTAATTACATCTTATCTTATTACTATTATAATCACATTTTTATCACATTTTATTATAATTCTCTCCGTTATTTTGTATATTTAACTTAGTTTACATATTCAAAAGTTTATTTTTACTATATAGATCATGAAAAAGAATGCAGCGATGAAGAATCAAAATATATATCTTCAGAAAGTTCTTCACGTAATAGTGAATCTCCTCAAAATGATGGCGAAACTCCTCAAAATAATATTTCGAATAAAACGATGTCATCCGCTTCTAGTCTCAATGCATCAGAAATTAATATTGCTGGCAAATCTTCATGCAATGATGACCTAATGTATGTTGAAAAGTCTAAGATAAAAGCCACCAAACGACACTGTTGCACTTTTTGCATGAAGTTGCAATCGCAACTCGCACGTCATTTGGAAACAGTACATTACATAATGAACCTGAAGTAAAAAAATTTGCAGTGCTACCAAAAAAGAATCCGGAAAGGAAAAAAATAATAAATAAATTAAGAAAGATGGGTAACTTTAAATTTAACACGAATCCCGATATTAATACAGGACAACTAATTGTATCCAGACGTCCAAATGAAAAAGTTAATAAAATTGCGAATGATTTTATTGCTTGTGCGAAATGTAAGGGTTTTTTTTGCCAAAAGCACAATACGCCATCATGCACGAAAATGTTTTAAAAACGATTTTCGGAAGAACAAAAGCATTATGATTATGGGCAGAAAAATTATAGGAAGAATACATCAATTAGCAAATGAGACTTTAAGAAATATGGTGTTTCCAGTAATGCGAGACGATATAGTAACACGAATTGTGAGATATGATGAATTGTTGATCTTATATGCTAATAAGCTGTGTGTCAAATATAAATCTCAACACCAGCATGACATGATAAGAGCACGATTGCGCGTTCTTGGACGTTTTCTTTTGGCACTGAAAGAAATAAATAAAAATATAGAAGATTTCAAATCGCTCTATCATCCTAAAATATATGATGATTGTATTTCTGCAATCAATATAGTAGCTGGATACGATAATGAACATCTTTATAAAACTCCGGCAGTAGCATCTAATTTGCCAACATTAATTAAACATATAGGTAATCTTCTGATTACAGAATACATCAAAAGAGAAAATCAAGATAAAAAGAAATTAGTTAAAGATTTTATAAAACTATTAGTTGAAGATATTGGCGCGAGTGTCAATAAAACGGTCTCAGAGACACAATCAACTAATAAAAGACGAAAAAAGATAAATCTCCCGTCATTGGAAGATATAAAAAAATTACATAAGTATTTGATGGATAAAAGAAAAGAAGCTTACTCAACATTAGAAGAATCTTTCTCATACGAAAAATGGATTTCTTTGGCAAAAGTGATATTAACTTCGATACATGTTTTTAATAGATGACGAGCAGGAGAAATAGAACGAGCTCTCATTGAAGATTTTGAAAGTTATGAAAGACTGAATGGAAATATGTACAGTGATATATATAACTCATTATCAATGGAGGAGAAAGAAATTGCTCAAAAATACGTTCGATTCTATATAAGGGGAAAATTAGGACGTACTGTCCCCGTTTTATTGTCAAGTGATCTTTTTGAAGTGATCTTTTCGATCGTTACTTTAATTTTGAAATTTCGGAAAGAAGCTAATGTACCGGAAAAAAACCCTTACATCTTTGGATTACCAGGTTTGAACAAACATAGGTTCAAATATCTAAGAGCTTGTGTTTTAATGCGAAAAAATTTGCTAAAGAGTGTGACGCTAGTCATTCAACTACTTTACGTGGTACAATACTAAGAAAACATATAGCAACATATTGCATTCAATTGAACCTCAATGATACTGATGTTACGGATCTTGCTACATTTATGGGCCATGCAGATAAAATTCATAGACAACATTACAGGCAACCACTAGCGAGTAGAGAAATCCTTAAAATATCTCAATATTTAGAAGCTGTGCAAGGAAATACACAGGATTCAAGCGATGAATCTGCGTCGGATATGGAATTTGAAAAAGAAACTAATTCGGAAGAAAGCATAATTTCTAACAACGATGAAATAGGTAATTAAAATAAAATTTAAATACTTATACAATAATATAATAATAAATTAAAAAATACAATAATAATTGATACATATATGTAAGTAATAAGATAATATAAAAATATTTAATAAAGAATAACATAGAGCACATATTATTATTAATATATATAAACAATAAAATTGTGGACGTAGGCAATAATAGATCAGGAGAAGGAGCGCAATGAAGGGTAATCCACAAATGACTCCGGATACGAATAACAGCTTGGAATATATTTTCAGGATATATTTACAAGGAGGAATGTCAGTGTAGATATTCGGTTAAGATGGATTGACTCCAGGGAGAGGTAGGAAGTAAGTCGGGTGGCACCCGAAGGTGCCCGCGCCGAAAGGTGCGAAGGCTGGCGCCAGTTGAGCTCGTCTACTTCTCCGGGGGGGAGTTCTCCTCGTCCTCCTCGCCGAAGAGCTTCCGCAGCCGGGCCTGGAGGTGCGGGTTGCGCTGCA